CACTGCACTCCAGTCTGAGTGACAGAGTGAGACTCCAACTCAAAAAAAGAAAAAGAAAAGGGATATGGTAGCTCACCCCTACGATCCCACCACTTTGGGAGACCACAGTGGGAGGATTGCTTGAGCCCAGGAGTTTGAGACCAGCCTGGGCAACATAGTGAGACCTCGTCTCTGCACAAGAATTTTAAAAATCAGCAGGCATGGTACCATGTACTTGCAGTCTCGGCTGCCCTGGAGGCTGAGGCAAGAAGGATCGCTTGGACCCAGGAGGTGGAGCCGTGATCGTGCCACTGCACTCCGACCTGGACAACAGAGTGACATCCCAACTCAAGAAAAAAAGGGACTCCCTGCTTTCTGGCCCACAAAACCGCGACTCCATGCTCCCCAAGCTCCTGGGCGGCAGGTGCCTTTGGGCCGCGCCTGTGCTGGGCCACAGATCTGAGACTTGTTTTCACCTCCCCATCCACCTCCCTGGGAGGCAAGAATCGGCTGCCCACGTCTGCTTGAGGACACGGGAGCACTGAGGGGCTCAAACCATCTCTGAGGCCACACAGCCCACAGTGGAAAGCGGGGTGCAGATCTCGAATGGTCTGGATCTGAAGCCCATGCCCTCTGCCCACTCAGTCCCCTGGAGTCTGGGTGCTGGTCACCTGGGAAGGCAGCGCCATGCGCAGGGCACTGCCCAGTTCCCATGCCAACATCTCAACCACACCCAAGCACAGGGTGCTTTTCTCCTCCCAGGGATCTCCACGCTGTTCGGTCCGGACCCCTGAGGGCTGGAGACATGCCCACCCAGGATGGCAGTGTGAGGGGCAAGGGACGCCTAGACGTGGAGCCCAAGCTTCCAGGGCTGGAACCCAGAAGAGCTGTGCTCACGTTTGGAGAAACGGCTCCTGGAAAACACAGGCCGGCCCATGCGCGCTGCCTGGGAGGCCAGGTCAGGAGTCAGCACACGGGCCCTGAGACCTGGGGTCAGTGACAACAGCGAACACCGCTTGAGCGGGGTACGGCCACAGGGGTGCCACAGCCACCCAGCCAGCAGGCAGTTCATGTGGTGGGGGAGGGCAGGACCACCCCACCCCAGGGGCAATAGGACCTGAAGGCACACCCTCAGTGTCCGAGCAGGAGACAGGGGTGCAGGCCAGGCCCGTTCTGGGGATGCACGCACCTCCAACAGGCGTGAGATGGCATCAGGCTGGGCCCGGGGGCAGCTGTCGTAGCAGGGCCACACCACGCGGCGCCTGCTCTGGGGAGCCCCTCCGTCCGGCCGCTCATCCTCCGGAGGCTCGGGGGGCCCCTGGGCCAACTCCCAGTCGTAGGGGGGGCCCTCGGCCAGCGTCTCCTCCGTGTAGAAGTCCCACACCTTCAGGTTGGACACGTTGCTATAGGGCCGCAGGACCTGGGGGAAGCTGGCGTTGAGGACCTGAGCCGGGCAGGAGCCGCCCGCCACCCGGTCCCGGCTCACCTCCGTGTCCTCGGGCGCGTACACGTAGTTGTAGAACATGGGCGTCCTCTTGCTCAGCCGGTCCACATACTCCCACACGGACCGGCAGGGCAGCTGGCCCCGGCGCTCGCCCTTCTCCTCGTACAGCAGGCCTGCGGGGAGGCCAACTCAGCCCCGGGGTTGCGCCGCGCCCCCCGCCCCTGCCCACCCGCATACCCAGCTCGATGCGCTCGTAGTCCGAGTCCAGCAGGAAGGTCCGGAAGCGGCGGGACACGTGGTGGTAGCCCAGGAACTTGAGGTAGAACTGGCTGAACTCAAACTCCATGGGGAACTGCAAGTGGACCTGCACACGGGGTGCGGCGGGGCCGGGGGTCAGGGGTCGGCGGGCGCACAGCCCCCAGCCCCGCCCTCGGCCCCGCCCACCTGGTGCACGCAGTCCAGGAACTGCAGGAAGACCGGCGTGAAGCCGCTGCTCTGCCCAGCCAAGGTGTGGGCCCCGCGGTGGCCGAAGCGGTGGCCGAAGGACAGCCACTCCTTCTCCACCAGCAGGCGGAAGCCCTCCAGGGTGCGGTAGAAGGGATCGGAGAGCAGCTGCACCAGAGACACCACCTGCAGCGCGGGCGCGGTGGTCAGCGGGCGGCCAGCGGGCCCCCGGGGCCCCAGCCCGGCCCAGCCCCGTGCTCACCTGGGTGGTGATGTCCCAGCCGTCCTCCAGGCTCACCAGGACGGAAGAGCCCGAGTCCAGGAGCTCCACCACCAGCACCGACACCTGCAGCAGCCTGTGGATCTGTGGCAACCTGCGCTCAGACTGCCGCCCGGCCAGACCCAGGCCCGCGCCTCCCCCACGCCGCCGCCCCCAGCCCCAGGAGGACACGCCCCGACAGCCGTTGGCGGTGAGGTGACTACGGCTTCTCCCACCTGCCCACCACAGCACACCCGGGAAGGCCTGGCGGCCTTGTCCCAAGCCCTCCAGCCTTCCGCAAGCCAGATCCCCTCCCGACAAGAACGCAGCAGAGGCGCTGAGCCACACCACAGCCTCGGGGAGCATTGGCCCAGCAGAGCCCAGCTGGCTGCCCCAGCCCACCTGCAACCGGGCCCTGGCCGCCAGGCCCACTCCCCTAGCCGCCTTCCAGGCATCACAGCCTCAGGCGTGGAGTGGTGGCTGCCGTGCCTTGTCAGACGCGCAGACCCAGCCCCATCCACTCAGCTCTAGCCCAGCGCGCTCCACCAGCAGCAGGCAGGGGGCAAGGGCAGCGCAGAGACCTGGATCAGCCACTCTGAGTCCTCCAGCGAGCGCAGAAAGGAGGCCAGGCCCGGCTCGGCAGTGGGGCAGCCCGGGACACACGCCTTCAGCAGTTTCTTGAAACTAGCCTTCACCTGCCGTGCCTCAAACACCTCGATGGGCACCAGCTCCCACTGCTGCAGGGGGTCTGGCCGCACACCCTGCAGGGAGGTCAGCCACAGGCTGTGAGTATGCCCAGGTCCCCCCCAACCGGCCCCCACCCCACCCCAGTCACCTTGAGCTGGGCTTTGTCTCCAATGATATAGAGGGCTGCACGCTGGGGGCGAAGAAAGCTGGGGTCCGGGGGGGCCCCGTTGGCCTGGGGAGGGCCCAGCACCTCTCTGCCAGCTAGCCGGGAGCCCACGTCAGCACCAAGCCCACCGCTGCGCCCACTGGCCCGGACACTGACCCATTTTCCTGCAGAGGGGAGCCCAGGTGAATAACCACATGCGGTCAGGGCACCACTTACCTAGAGCTGGCTGGGCCTGACCTCCAGGGACAGAGCTGAGCTCCCAGGGTGGGGGAGATAGCTGGCAGGACCCCAACAGGGCTGTGCCAGAGGAAAGCTGGAACGCACAGATGCTGAGACACGGGTGGCAGCTAGGGTTAGTGTCGAGAGCAGGGCTCAGTGCCAGGCAGGTAAGTACTGGGGCTGAGGGAGGGCTGTTAGTGTCAGGTGTGGAGGAAGACATTAGTGCCCGCGATGACTGCACACCGAGGCTGTCAGCGCCAGGAGGGGGAGCTGACTTGTGCAGGCTCAGTACGGTACCTCCGTGCGCGGTCCGTCTAGAGGCCGAGGCCGCCATGGGGTTGGACAGCGTGGTGACCCTGGCTCTGGGGCTGGGCACTGGGGGCACAGCAGAGAGAAGGCTCAGGCCTGGCCCCAGGCTTGTCCAGCTTAGGGGTACCCATAAGCCATAAGTTCCCAGCAGGCCTCCCAAGATCCCTGGAGACAGCAGAGGTCAGCACCAAAGCCCTGGTCTCAGAAATGGGTAGAGTCGGCATTCTGGTACAGGCAAAGGGCCTATCTACCAGGATGGGTCAGGGGCTGAGGGGTCCACATGGTGGGAGGGTCAGGCAAGTGCCCCGGGCTCTGCTCCCAACACCTCCCCACTCCTCACTCAAACCAACTTAGCAGCTTTGTCTGAGTCCTGCCTCCACACCCTGGCCCCGAGTCCCTCACTCAAGGCCCAGAACTGCTGTCCACACTTGGCTTTGGAGTGGCCTCTGCCCAGGACACACGACAGAAGGGGCCTGAGGAGTGCAGCCTGGAGAAGGGGGCCCAGAGGCTTCTGGAAGGGGGAGAGGGCGGCTCCGTGCCCAAAAACGCCCAGTCCAAAAGGAAGGAAAGCACTTCAGTCCAGAAGGCCTGTGCCAGACTGACACACAGGCTGGCACGATGTACCTGCAGGCCCAGCCTGAGGCACAGGAGGCACACGAAGAAATGGTGCCCAGGGCCTGAGGGGTACCTGGGGCCACACGGTGGGTCTCTGAGCACCTTGCCTGGCCTGGGCTCACCTGCACTAGGGGGCGAGGGAAACAGCCCCCATCCACCCAGCGGTCACCGTGGGCCAAGCACAGTGCCAGCTTGCCATGCCTGACATCCTAGGACAGCCACTGGTGCAGGCACCCAGCACAGCGAGGAAGCGGCACCAGTCTGCTTAGGACAGTGGCCAGCAGGGCCCAGCCCGGAGCCTGAGCCTAGGCTGAGGGAGGCCAAGTCCCTGTTCCCTGTGCATTGCTGGGTGCTAACAGGGATGCCGGGAGGCAGCAGATGCTGGCTTGGAGATGGTCAGAGATGCCCGAGAGACACAAAGGCACAGGCGCTCACTGGGACAGGTCCTGGGGGAGAAGACGCTGCCTACGGCACTACTCAGGATTTCTGGCAGCGTAGGAAGGCAGGAAGCCAGGGTAATTGTGAGACACAATCATGATATTTGGAAACCAAAAACTACTCTTGAACTACAGAGAGCAGGTATCCCTAACAGAGCGAGCGTGGTCCCAGTCTGGCTTCTCCATGGGACAGCATCCCCGTAAGTGATCGTGAGGGCAGACTCGCCACCTCGTTCCCAGTCCCTGTGCCACCAGTGCCCAGCACAGGTAATGAGGCATACAGATCACCTGAAGAACACTGCTGAGCATGAGAGGAGACCTACAGATTCCACAGGGTAAGAAGCTGGTGTGCTCAGAGCAGAGGAAGCGTGCGCAGGGGCGGGGAGAGAGGCAAAGCAGACAGCCACGGTGCAGACTGGAGGCCTGCACAGTCGGTGATGAGAGCCAGAATGGCCTGGTGTGCAGGATGGCTCTGCCGGTGGGGGAATGCTCCAGCTCCCCCACTGTGTCCCCAGAAGCTGGGCCCCACAAGCTCGAGGCCAGGGGCTGGGGGGGCCAGGAGTGCCGCCTAACATGGCATCTGCCATCAACTCCAGGTGTATGTACATGGCACAGGCCCACACAACCCTGGAGGGCATGTCCCTGTACCTGCATGGTGTGGAAGGCTCAGGCTCTAGTGCAGGGGTCACCCGAATCCCAGGCCCCAGTGCTGGAATGAGACATCCAAACACAGAACTCAAGAGGCTCTAGGCACAGAGGACCCAAGTGTCCAGCACACAAACCAGGGCTCGTGCGCTAAGTGGCCGGAGCTGTAAGTCCAAAGAGCAACCCTCAAGGAGCCCCAGCACCTACCAGTTGGCCCAGAAGGATTAGCCAGACAGGAACAGAACATCAATAAAAAACCATGGAAGAGACGGGAACAGATAGGTTAGGGGTAGATGCAGTTAGGTGAGGTCAGAAAGAGGAAGAGAGGTCAGACGGGAGACCGGGTGAGATGGCAGAGATGGAGTTAGACAGCAGAGACCGGGTCTGACGACAGGGTCGGGGTCAGACCACAGGGTTGGGATCAGGGTCAGACGGCAGAGTCAGAGTCAGACGATAGAGACGGGGTCAGATGTGGGAGATGGAGGAAACCAGAGATGCAGCGACCTTGTGGGTAGAGTGGGGAGCTCCCTGTTCTGATGCACCCTTCCCTCTCTGGCCTTTGGGCCCTGGTGGGTTTTGCTTCCTGCCGGAAAGCTTCTCCCAGTACCTAACACCCATGACTTGCTTCCCCAGCCACTACTGGACTCAGGCGCCCACCCTGCATGCAAGGTGTGGGTCGAAAGTAGGAAGCCCAGCACCATGTGTGCTCTCGGCATCATCGAGCCTGGGCCCAACCCATGAAGACACAGCCCCACCTGGTCCCAGTGCCCAGGACAGTGAGGGTGGGGCTCTGCTGATGGTGCCAGGTTCATGCTCCACCTTCCCTGGCCTGGTGCTGCCTCTGCAAATGAGACAAGGGGCCCATCTTCACAGGGACAGAAGGCATTTCCCATGATGACCATGATGCAGAGTGGGAAGACAAATGTGGGCACCTCAGGCAAGGCCAGGCAGGGGTAGTAGCCAGCCTGAATCCACCTCTGTGTGTGCAGGCAGCCCCTGACGTGTGGGTGGTGGTGGGGACAGGGATAGCGAAACCAGCTCAGACAAGGCCTAAGGAGACAGGACAGAAGAGGTCAGAGGCCAAGCAGGGGGCAGAGCTGGGCCAGAGACTCCAAAGACAGTCTGGATAGGAGTGGGGACAGCAACAGGGATAGGAACAAGGCAGAGGAGTGTCTGGAGACACTTTCAAGTGCTGCAGGAAATGATCAGAAGACACAGAGGTGGAAGGCAGGGTGGTCAGGGCAGACGGGACCACAGAACACCTACCTGGCTGGACTGGCTTCCCGCCTCACCCCATGGCACCCAGAGGGGCCCTCCTTGTCCCATGCCCCAACATCCCTAACCAAAGCCACTTGTGCCCCGAGGGCCCTCCCACCATAAATGCCACCACAGTCCCCATAAGTGCTCCCTGCCCCACATCCCACTCTCAGCACCCTCACCGTGACTGCCCATGTGGGCCGAGGAGAAGCCGCTGAGAGTGTTGCGTCCTGACGCATCGGCATAGCGGGGCATGGCGCTGACGACGGCCTGCAGGTACTTCTCCTGCTCCAGGCTGCTTGAGTCCGCCTGGGACTGGCCTGGGGAGGATGCAGAGCTGGGGAAGGATGGGACGCTGGGGGGGAGTAGACCCAGGGCGAGGCTCAGGCGCATACCTGGAGAAGGCGCATTCTGGGCCTTGAAGAGGCCAACAACGCCCTTGCCATGCAGGCCTCCAGAGCGCAGCAGCACAGCCTTGGAACGCCCGCTGCGCCAGCAGACCACAGGGAAGCGATTCTGGCGGTAACAGCGGGACACGCGCTGAAGGGCATTGTCCTGGACGCTCTGGGGTACAATCAGCAGCCCCGGGTAGCTGTGAGGAGGCAGAGCAGAGGGCAGCTGGGAGGCCCCGCCCAGCAGCCGACAGGTGCAGGCAACGGATGCCAGCCCAGCTCCCAGCACCCTCAGGCCCAGGGCACCTCTCAGACACTCAATCTCCAGCCGGGCCCACTGAGCCTCTGCTGCTCCCCTCCACACTCCTCATCCAGCCAGGAGCCATGGCTGAGGCCCCCAGGAGGCGGGGATGGCGCCCCACTGCCTGCCACCTGCCACCCCCAGCCAGCCCAGGCGCGTCCTCCCAGGTGCATCCGGCCGCCTCACCTGCGGCAGATGGCATACATGCGGTTCACTGGGGAGACGCGGAACAGCTCCGACTTGGCCCGGCTCAGGCTGCTGCTCAGGGTACCAAGGCCCAGGCGCTGGTAGTCACGGCAGCATGCCCGCTCCACCAGGCTGCTCATGGTCATGCGGTCTGAGGGCTTCAGGGCTGCGGCCGGGGTCAGCGTGCTGGGCTCCAGCTCTTCTGACACTGTACGGGCCAGGCCACAGGCCGTCACCCGGACACTGCCAGCCTGCCCAGCCCCCACGGGAGCACCGCCGTCCAGAGACCACTCGGTGGCTTCACCCCACCCCACCCCCACCTGAGATCTCGTCCTCCTGGTCCTCCGGGGGCAGCTGGCCCCGGTGATCCCAGCTGGGCGGGTTGTACTTCTTCCGAGTGACATGCTGCCGCACAATGGTCTTCTTGGCGTTCTTCACCAGGTTCCGGGACAGGGTTCTGGGGCACACAGAGTCAGCAGAGGTAACAGGATAGGTGGGCGCGGGGGTCTGGGAGGGCTGGGGCAGGCACACGGCTGGGATCAGATGCATACTTGAGAGAAGGAGCCTTGTCCTTGGTGGCCCGGGGCGGCCGGCCAGGTGTGTGGGCAGAGCCCAGGGTAAAAGCAAAGGTGCCCCTGACATCTGGAGGGTACCGTAGCTTGTGCAGCTGCTTGCGGAAGAGCTCCGCACTGTCGGACCCCACTTCCTCGTCGAAGGCCATTTTCAGCAACTGCGTCAGAAGGAGGAGCAGCTCAGGGGCCCGGCCCCACCCCCTCCAGGCCGCTGCGGGATGCCCAGGCACCCTTCCCATCACAGCCATGCCACAGAGGCAGGCAAGCCACTCGCCAGGCCCTGTGCCCACAGCACTCAGAGTCAAGTACCATCTAAGCAGCACGTCAGCTACTGGAGAGCAAAAGTAGGCTGGCAAGGCACACCACAACCCTGATGCAAGGGTCGGTGCCCCGAGGAAATGACAAGGACCCAGAGGCCTGCAAGTCAGACCACCTGAGAGCCAGGGTGAGGGCCTCAAACCAACAGCCAGGCTCAGCCACAGGGCCATGGTGCAAACCGGCTCAGGAAAGAGCCCACCCAGCCGCCACCCTGGAGGAGAGCCCGCCGCATGCCGGCCCACCTGGAACGTGCAGGAGCGCAGCTGCAGCCCATCCTGCAGGGACTGGTCCACAGGGGTCTGGACGCTGATGCGCTTCTCCTTGGTCAGCGCCGCCACCGGGAAGGAACGGACCACCACCTGTTCCCCCACTTGCACCAGGCCGGGCACAGAGTCAGAGGGATGGTGGGGAAGCCGTCCCAGAACCTCAGAGTACCACAGGTAAGGGTCCTCGTGGGTGGGGGAGGAGTAGACAGGAACTCGCTTCCCATGGGGACCCTGTACCCTTGAGAAAAGGGGAGGAAGAGGCAGGGCAAGCCCCATCCACCCAGAGGCCTGGAGGGGAAGGGAGCATGGGCAGAAAGGTCTGGAGGCTCACCCAGGGGGTCGGTGGGCATGCCCGTGAAGATGACCCGGTATGTAGTGAGGAAGACAGCGCCCTCAGCCGGGAGCAATGCGGGGCCCCCCACGGAGCCCCCGGAGCCCTCCTCACGCCCGTCCGGCAGCAGATAGACACGCAGGCCATCCAGCACACACTCCTCACCAGGCAGCAGGCGCGGCCGCAGCAGTTTGGGCTGCCCAGGGACGGGAGCAGTGCCTCAGTACACATCCGGGCCCCCGGCGCCCGCAGCCCACCCGGCCCCACTCACCTTCTGGATGGGGGGCAGCCTCTTGCTCTCTCGGTACACAGCCTCCAGGGTCTCAATGTGCATCTGGACGATGTCTGGGGGAGAGCAGTTCTCACGCTCTGGGCCCCTTCCTCTGCCTGTCTGAGGGGAGTGCTTCCACACCCAGGCCCCCCATACCTGGCACCATGACATGCAGCCCCTTGAGGTGGTCGCTGGTGACCCCACTCTCGGTGCAGACCTTATCCACAAAGCGGTTGATGAAGCGGACCACGGCCCCAGCCACGTCGCAGGTCTCTGCATCCTCGAAGCCGCTCTCCGTATCATAGCTCTCAGCCACACTGCCCGCCATGCTGGGCCAGGGAGGAGTGGTGGGCACAAGCCCCCGCCCACCCGCCTGCCCACTCCCGCCCCGGAACCCACCCACCTGGGCCACCCTCCCATCCTCCCTACGGCCCAGGCCCTGCCCCTACGTGGGCCCCGCCCCACCTGCTGGTGACCAGGCTATTGCTGGCGCTCTCCAGGTCCCCCAGACCCGCACGCTCCCGCAGCAGACGGCTCTTGCTGCTGTCCAGGGGCAACAGGAGGTAGCTCATGCGGTTGGCGTAGTGGATGGCCTGGCTGAACACCGTACTCTCCTCCTTCTGCACCAGCTCCTGCTGCTTCTCACGGGTCAGGGTCGGCCACAGGCGCCGCTGCTCGGAAGCCACGTCCAGGGCAGAGCGCTCGTCCTCCTGGGATGGCACCTCCCCGGCTTCCTGCCCCAGCACCACGTGTGAGCCGGGGCCAGGCTACCCCGACTGCCCCAGGACCAGGGAGTCCTGCCCACCTGGCTGGGGTCCCGGTCCTCAGCAGGCTCCAGGTAGAGGGCCCGGATGTGGGTCTGCACGTCCCCGTAGAACATGGCCTCCCAGAATTGCGGGGTGCTCCACACCACGTGCTCTTGCACACAGCTGTATGCAAACTGCGTCACCCCCGGGCTCAGCTTCTGCAGCAGCCAAAGCGGATAGGAGGGTCAGCCGTGTGCAGCCATGATGGGAGGGGCGGAGGCGGCTGTGACCACACCAGCACTCACCCTGCAGAAGGCTGTGACCAGGGGCAACAGAGCAGCTGCAATGCCATGCTCGTCCAGGGAGGTGCAGTCCTGTGTGCGGAGGCGAGCCCGTCAGGACCCCTGTCCCGCCTGCCAGGCCCCTGCCATGCCCATGGCCCCCGCAACCAGCACCTGGAACCAGTGGCTCCAGTTTGCCAGGGTCAGGAGACTCCAGACCCCTGCACCTGCCTTCTACAAGGGCTCACCGCTCCATGGTTCCCTGTAGAGCGGGGGCCCACCCCTGGCACAGAGACTCCCCACACCCCACGTGGCTGGCCCCACTCCCCACACCCTGGACGTGGCTTCGCTCTCACCCGGAGACCAGGTCTCCCTGCCCGTCCACCCCATGTACTGTGTCACTGGTGAGCCGGAAGACCTGGCCTCACCTGCAGGCAGCAGTTCATCATACGGACCACAAAGTCAAACTGCTGGTGGTCAAGGACTGCACGGTTCTGCTGCACATGCAGGTGCAGCTCTTGGGCGAGGCAGCGGCGAGCAGCTCGCCCCTTCAGGGCCCTCAGCACGGCTGGGAGCAGCTGGGGGAGGGGCAAGAGAAACAGACTGGGGGCACGGAGGGAGGTACAGGGAAGACCCCACAAGGGGCTGAGGAGGGGAGGAGGCCCAACCCTGCCTGGGAGACCCAAGCGCCATTCAGGTCAGATGTTCCCGGACTCTGGGGCTTTGCTGACCGATAAGACTAAAACCTCCAGTGGATCCCGCAACTCCACAAAGACAGCTCATGAAAACAGACTCGAGAATGTGAACATCGAGACGCGCTCTAGGGTGAGGCACCCTGGCCCTGGGCTCCAGTGATCAGAGGTCAGGGTCCTGGAGCCGCTCAGCCTTCCAGGGGCTTAAGTCCAGGAGGCACGATGAGGCTGCGAGTGCAGATGACTCACCTGGCAGGCCCGGGCCACAGAGGGCTCACATCCCAGGGAGTCCCTTGGGGACACCATGCAGCAAAAGCGAGGTAGACTCGTTTGGCTGTCATGAAAGACCCCAAAGGTGCTCAGGGAACACCACAGAAAACACAGCAGCTTGAAAGTGGACTCTGTCTTCTGTAACTTACAAAAACAGAGCACATGCGGGCCTACCCTTTTCTGGGGAAAGAATGCAGAGGAAACCTAACAGTGGAAGTCATAAGGGTCTTCCGATTCCTGAACACTGAAGTGAATCCCCTTTGTTGAGACCCCGAAGGCCTGTCCCACCACCCACTGAGATCAGGATGGGGAGGCCCGGTGCTTACCCACCCTCTGGCCAGCCCAGCCACCTGCAGCTGTTTCGCAGGCACCTGAGGCCCCGAGGACAGGCTCAGCCCCCGCAGGACTCAGGCCAGCCCTGAGTACCCTCTGAAAATGGCGTACCCCAAGCAGGAGGCCCCACTTGGTGCAACGTACCTTCTTGGCCTCAAGCATCTTCCCCTCAAACACATAAGAAATGCAGTTGCGCACAACCTCCAGCCGGCGGGCGCTGTTGATATGCAGCCCACTGGACCGCTCCAGGATGGCAGCTGGGGAACAGGACGAGCTCAGCCTGACCCAGACCCACCCCACCCCGGGCCGCATTCAGGGCCAGCCCTCCCTCATTACGCACTCATGGGGGGCCCTGAGGGCACCGTGGTCCTCCTCTCAGCCTTCACTGCTGGTGGTGCGCCCTGCATCTTGGCCGCAGCCTGGTCCACGATCCACTGCACAGTGCCCTCATCCAGCCGAGGGAAGGGCCGGGGCACCCGTCTCAGGTGACTGGCCTCGCCGGGCCTCTGCACTTTGTGCATCGCCACAGCTGGGTATGGGTTCTCCTGGGGAAGATGGGCAGGCATGGGGCGCAGGGCCATGGGTCAGGACAGCGCAGCACCCTCCCCTCTGCCGCCCGCATACATTCTTGTAGAGCTGCTCTGCCAGTTCCTGGACATGACGCAGGACACGCTGGGGGTGGTTCTCATCTGCCCGCATCCGCGCCACCTCGTGGGCCACCAGCTGAAGGGCAGGCAGGAGGGAGGGGAGGAAGAGCTAGGTATGGTCGGGCAGGCCGTGGGGTGGGGCCAGGTGGGTGAGGCGGGGACGCACCTCATCAAACAGGTCTGTGGAGCGGTAGGGGACACCACGCTCCGACACAAAGCCAGCAAAGGCCATGCCCTCCAGCACTTTCATCAGGAAGTCATCCTCCACCAGCCCACGCTGGCCCAGGAAGGCTGCCTGGGGATACAAGGAAGTCGGCCCTCGGGTCATGGCAACCACCGCCCCCCCGCCGCCCAGCACCCACCTTGTGGAAGCGGATGACGGGCTCCGGGTGGATGCGCACGATATGCAGGCACCAGCGGTAGCCCTGCAGGAGCTGGGCAAAGAGCCGCAGGAAGACGGCACGCAGCTCCTTGTCCTGGTGCACGGGGAGCCCAGTTAGAGCCCAGTCCTTGGCCCCACCCAGGCCCCCCGGGGGCTGTTCTCCATCCCACCCCACTCGCCTCCTCCCGCCCCTCCCACCCTGCACACTTGGCCAGCCGGCTCCTCTCGCAGCTGGACAAGTCACTCCCACTCAGACCCTTGGAGGCTCCCTGAGATTGCATGCGAGTCTGGCCCCTCCACGGTCCCCTGCGCCACTCCATGGTCCCCTACGGCCCCTCTGCCCCCGGTGCCTTCCTGCCTGCACTCCAAGAGCCTGGCTGGGGCTGGTCTAAGGGTGAGGCTCACAGGCAGCAGACCCAAGACAGGGGATGGGGGCCCCGGGCGGAGCAGCAGCAACCCCCACCTGCATCTTCAGGGAGGGGCTGGACGTCATGGGTGGAGGGAAGGCAAGATCAGCCAACTCCAGCTCTGGATCCAGGACCTGTGAGGCAGAGGGGAGCGGGCAGCGACAGCCTCCTCTGGCCCCGGCCCTGAACTGTGTGCTGCCAGGTGGCCCCGCCCACGGCCCTCCCTCACCATGCTCAGAATGCTGTGCGTCTGGCTCTGCAGCGGCTCCGGCAGGGGTGGGATGTGCACACACTCGGGGACAGTCACCGTCCCACCATCCAGATCAGCAATAATCACGTCCAGCTGCAGACCAAGGGAGCCATCAGTCAGGGACCCACAGGCTGGGCAGCCAGGCGGACTCAAACCACAGGCTTACCAGCTCTTGGGTCTCTGCCTGGAAGGCCGCGTTGACCCCGATGACGAAGGGCGTGGGTGTGCTGAGGACTTCCAGCAGCTGGGCCGGCAGGATGGGCACATAGGTGAAGCTACAGGAGGCCCCAAGGATGCCGTCAGCCCAGAGGAGGGACCAGGTAAAGGACAGGGCAGAAAGAGGGGTGGGGTGGGGCGGGTGGGGGCACCTGTATCTGAGCGGGAACAGCAGTGCCAGGAGGCCCCTGCAGGCATCTGCAAGCCGCTGGTAGCTCCGGGACAGGAAGAGGACCTTGTGCTCCGTGAGGGCGGCACAGAACAAGGACAGCACGTTGGTAATGCCTAAAAGCAGGGGGAGGTTGGAGAGAGCCCTGTGCCCCTCCAGCACAGAGTGGAGACCCACACCTCTGCCCGTTGGCCCTACGAAGCCTTACCCAGCTGGCGGAAGAGCAGGGCCACACTGCAGCGGCTGACGGGCAGCGAGTCGGCCAGCGGGGTCTGGATGACCTGCCGGTCACCGGCCCCCAAAGAGATGGTTCTCTGTGGAAAGAGAAGGATCAGGACTCAGCAGTCTGAGCAGACCCAAGTCAGCCCAGAGCTCTGTGTCCCCGGGCAGCCCCAAGTGGACCACCAGGCCCGAGGTGGGACTGACTGGGATGGTGGCGTGGCATGAGGGAAGGCCACGTCCTGCCTCTTTGGCCTGAGCCGTGCTGCAGAGAAAACTCAGGGTGGCTGCCTCTGACCTGGGGTGGGGACGGGGCCCAGGTGGGCAGAAGAAACAAAGATTCATACCGCTCCTTCCTCAACAGAGTCCAGCTGCACAGGACAGACGGGCAGAGAGACACAGTTAGACACCCCAGCAGGCGTGGGCACAGAGCAGGGAACAGACAGACAGGCTGACGCCAACACCAGAGACAGGCACACACCAGTGGAGTGAGAGGACAGAGGAGGGGCTGCAGGACCCAAAGCGCAGGTCCAAGGGCCAGATGAGCAGGCAGGGTCCAACAGACAAGGGTGGCAGCATGGACACAGGGGAGGGGGGTGGGGGGGCCCCAAAGCTTCTGGCCATGTTCGGCCCTGGCCGGACGCCGGGAGCCTACCAGGGCCCAACCCCATGACCGAAGCAGGAGGCCTGTGCCATCGGCTGCTCCCAGACCCACCTGTGAGCCACCAGCCAACGGCACAGTGCATGTCAGCAAGTTCCCAATCACATTCTCCAGGCACACATTGAGTCCCTCCACGTGGATGGCGTAGATGAGACCAAGGCTGTTCTGCAATGATAAGTAGAGCAGACGATGACAGACAGCTGGCAGAGCACCTGTGGCCGGCCCACGGAGCAACGGCCCGCCGTACCCTGAACACCTCCGTGTGGTCCAGTCGTGACACCAGCACCAGTGTCTTTGGAGCAAACAGCTGGGCAGATGGGGCAAGCGCTGAGGGTGACAAGCATGCCCGGCCTCCCTCGTCTGCCGCCTCTTCCCTCTCTGCGGCTTCCTCGGTGCAAGCTGCCTCCTGCAGACAGAAGGTCATCTGGGCTCTCGCGAGGCTCGTCCCCAGAGCCTGGCGGGGGCAAGGCAGCTCAGAAAGGCCTGGCCCCCAGAACTCCAGCCCCTACAGTGTGGAAGACATCACCAGAGAGGAGGCAGGCACAGTGCCACAGCCTGAGTGTCCAGCCGCTTGCAGGCCACACCCAGAGACCCTGGCTGACCTGAGCGGGCTCCGCTGGCTCCCAGAAGGTCAAGCAGGCGCAGTAGTGCCGCTCAGAGTTGATATCAGTGAGGACAGCAACAAAGAAGGTTGGCGGATTCCTCTCGGGACACAGCTGCCACCCGCTGGGCTGACAGAACTGCAAGGAGGGCTTGCAGTCAGCTCCTCTGGCCCCCTGCCCCATCGGCACCATGGGACTGGAGGCTCCAGGCACACAGGAGCAGTTAGCTCACCCTGTGACCTGGGGACACCTCGCCTTGCCAGCCAGAGCAACCACCTCTGGCCTCACCATCTGGGGTGGGACCAGGTGGGCACACGGTCTCCACCGCCACAGGCAAGCAGCAACATGACACACCGACATGCGTGCCGCTCCACCTGCTAGCCAGGCTAGCCGCCCCCAACCTCTGGGGCGGCTCTGACATCTCCAGGTTCCCTACCCAACAGGGGCCTCCGGTCTGGGGATGCGTGTGGACTGCCCTGCCTCCCCGACCTGCCGCCGTCTCACACCAACACTCACCAGCTCAATGCCCTGGGGGAACGGGTTGTCCTCCCAGTCCTTCTCGGGAAAGCGCTGCAGAATCTGGCCCTGGCCTTCCCCACTCCCTGAGAACAAGAGAAGTGGTCAGAGCACCCTGGCCCTCGCCACTCATAGGAGGCGTGAGGACCCCCATGGCCCTCCCAGCAGGTCTTCGCCTGCCACAAGCCCAGCCTCAACTCCCTAAAAACAGTTGTGTGTGGAGAGGCCACTAGGCAGCCACGGAGCCCAGAGCGCAGAGAAACCCCAGACCCCTAGAAGCCTCCACCACTCCCACTCCCACTCCCACTCTCAAGCCCCACCCCAGCCCAGCACGGAGCCCTCCGGCATGGGGCAACAGGTCTGGACTGTTCTACAGTCCACGCGGCATCCACCCCACAGCCATCCCCACTTAGGACCTCAGCCCCATCGCTCTTCGAGCTAGACAGTAAGCACTGTACCAGCAGCGGGCATGGCTGTGGCAAAGACACACTGGGGCACCCCAGAGTACTCTGGGCCCAGGCTAGGGGTGCAGAGGACTCACATCTGTTGTCTGTGTGGGGTTCAAGAGAACAAAACCTCACCCCCCCCACCAGCCACAGGAGACCACCCAGGCCCGCAAGCCCAAACCGCTCCCTCTCCCCAGCGCCTCAGACACAAACAGGCCCCAACCCAAGCCCTGGGAGACGGCAAGTGCCTGTGAAAAGACCACTGCCACAGCCAGCAGGGCCCAGTGGGCAACCACTGGACAGGAAGGACAGACACCTGGTCTCAAGATACCCGCCAAGGGATACCCCGATGACCTCCAAAGTACTGGGGTCTGGTAGCTCTCAGAGCGTGGGCAGGTGGTGGCACCCAGGACAGATGATGGGTGCTGAGCACAGCCCAGGTCTCCTGAGCACCCTGAGGCCAAGCTGGGGCTGCAGACCCATGTCTTCCCTGAGACAGCCCTCTCCTCGGAGCTCCAGGGCCTCCAAAGCACCCTTGCCCTGCTGCTGGAGGACGAAGCCCCGGACAGTTTCCAGGCCCTGCTCACATCAGTGGGTGAAGGCCCCCACCTGTGGCTCACCCCTTCAGAGCCACACTGAGACACTCTGAAGCAGCTCCCGCCGGGACGGCTCCACAGGCCTTCCAGAGCCCGCAGAGGTCGGAGCTAGTGCAACAGGAAAGCCAGAAGCCTCCCTGCCTGTACCGCCACATGGCCGCAGGTCCCAGGTCTTGCATGTTCCTGGTCTTGACACTGCTGCCCACTCGGAGAAGCAGCCAGAAAGATAAGTGAGGGGAAGACTAGTCACAGCTCTCTGGACCCCGCCCAGAGCCCCAGAAAGCCACAGCTGGGCTCGGAGGATCTGCCCAGATGCAAGCCCTGGTTCGCCAGCCTGGGCCCAACAGCACCCCTCCTCAGTTCCCCTGAAGGCAGGGCAGCAGGGTCACAGCCTCAGCAGACCACCACCCCCAGGACCCTGGAGGCAGAGCCCAGAACGCAGTACTGGCAGGGTGCTGCTAAGCGGAGGTGGCGGGCTGACTCTGACTCACAAACCTCAGCTTCCTGCTCACCCCACCGCCCGGACACCCCAGTGAGGACCGGCAGGAGATGGCGGGGCCCAGGTGTCTGCGGGTGCCACACCTACCTCCACACACACAGTCCCTGAGCGGCGGCTCCTTCCCCCCACCTACTTCCCCAGGGCCTCCAGTGCTAGGCCCCAAACCACCAACTGAGCCCAGGCCTGGCTGGCACCCAGGGCTCACCCAGTCCTTGCCACGAGGCAGCAGGCAGAGGAAGGAAGGGGTTTGCACACAGGGCCGGCAGCCTCTGCTCTGCAGCTTTCCCCCAGGGATGAGCACAGAGTGGCCAGCCACCGGGCCACCACCACCGTCCCCACCCCATCCACCCTGTGAACCACCGACTCCACGCACCACCCAGCCTCAGTCCCCTGCCGGGCTCCACCCTCCAAGCCCGAGCTCTGAGCTCCATTCGGCTGTCCCAACTGCTCACGGAGGCAGAGGGCGGGACAGCTGGGCAGACTTCTATGAGCGCCTTCTCCGAGCCAGGAGGGTCCCAGGTGTGCCCTTCAGGTCTCGGCCCAGAGTACCCTCCCCTGGGAAGCTCTGCTCCTGGCTGGGCCTGCAAAAATCCCCAGGGCCTCGCTGTTACACTTCATGGCAGATGGAGCACCTGCCAGCCAGCTGGGCAGACTGCAGCCTAAATGAGGGCTGCGGAACACACAGAGCTGGCTACACAACCATCCTCCCCCCACCCACTCCACTCATACCCCACAAGCAAACAGCTTCCTCAGTCGGAAACACAGAGCCGTTTCTGGAGCCCCAGGGCATGACAGGGTGCAGCTGGGCCCACCAGAGGGCCCACCACAGAGGGCCCCTGCACCCTAAGCTGTGAGCAGCTCTGCTCCCCACCTCTGAGACCCCAGCCTGCACCTCAGCTCGGGGCTCTCAGGGCCAGCTGCAGCCTGGCCACCGACCTGCATGGTGGAGGCTGGGGATTCCATCCAGCTCCCAGGTCACTCCATCCTCTCAAGTCCCATGGCCCAGGGTGACCCACAGCAGCTGAGCTCCCTGGCCACCAGGACTGCCCCTACCTCAGAGCAGATGGGAGAGGGTGCCCTCCCCTCCCTGCCCTTCCCCGCCCCATGGGAAGAGGACTAATCCGAGCAGCACAGCTGTTGGGAGGCCCCAGGAGGAGGGGCACCCAAGTCCTCCATTCCCTCCACCCTTGAACCTGGGGCTGAGGGGAGGCCCACCCAGAGGAAACATGGCTCCTTCCTCAACACCCCCGAGGAGCATCCCTCCTGCAGCCTCATCCCTGCAGCCAGCCCTGCAGGCTGAAGGGTGGCAGGCAGGCAAACAGACCCGCGTGCTGTCATCTGCTGGCAGCGCCCCGTCACCCGTGCCAGGCTCTGACACCAGGAGGGCTGGCCCAGGCCAGCACTCACCATGGGGAGCAAAGAAGGCCACAGCCTCGCTGCTCCCCCCTGCACACACAGGCTGCACCGGCCAGCTCTGCTGCCTGGGAGGGCCCAGCCATAGGAAGAGGGAGAGTGGAAGGACGGACGGCCCCTTCCTGCTGCACCACCCACCCGCATGCGGGGCTCCCCCAGGCCAGCCACAGGGCAAGCACGTGCAGCGTGGCCTGCAGCTTCCTTGTCATCCTCCCCAGCCTCCCCACCCCAGGCAGTCCGGAGAGGCTCTGACCCAGGGCCTGTGCCCCTTCAGACTCCCAGGGTGAGGGTGGGAGGCAGCTGAGGCCATCGCAACAGCCCCAACCGCTGTGCAGGAAGGGCAGGGACATGGGTGGGGACACTAGACGGGCTCAAGAATGTGGCCAGCTCCTCATGGCCAGGACTGAGAGGGGCCAGGCCATGGGGTGAAAGGTCTTTCACTGAGATGCCAGGGGTCATCCTCTCCTCCCCAGCAGACACACACCCACCTGCTGAAGCAGGAGGCCGCTGGCCAGGTCAAGGCCAGGTCAAGGGTGTTTCCTGTGCCCTAAGACAACTCAACACTGACCACACTGCGCTAAAGCAGCTCCCGCTGTCGGAGCCCTCCTAGGCCAAGAGCGGGACAGAGGCGCTCTGTCCGGTCCTCACGCCGGCCCCAGAGCGCCGAAGGCACTTCCCCACTCACCTTGTGAGGGGCCCTCAGATGCACCTTCTGAGATGGGCCAGGCCTCTCCCTGCCTCCCCAGAGGGTGCAGCTGGTAACCACTAGCAACTGGGATGTGGCCTCAGGCAAGACTCCAGACACAGGCTCAGCACCCAGGCCCTGCCCCCAGCAGCTCTGGCAGGATGTCCAGATCCAGGCCAGATGAGGCAACCACCACTCCTGCCCCTCGGCCCCTCAGAAGTGCCCAGGGGGCACACCTGCTGCTCGGTCACTGCCAGGACCTTGTCCTCCCTGGGGCCTCCTGAAACGCCACAGCTTCAGGTGTGCTGATCATACCCCCTCGGCAGCCTGGCAGGTGCGACTCACTCCAGCTTCTGATAAGGAAACTAAGGCACAGAGAGCCAAATAGCCTGAGGTCACAGAGCTACCAAAGTTAGGACTGGCCCCCACACTGTTAGCCTACTCCTGCCCTCACAGCTCTGCCCTCAGCCCACGGCCAGGTTCCCCACCTGTGGGCCTGTTCCTCCTAAAGGATGCAGCTCCACCCCAGAAGGCAGTGGCCGGGGGCTCTAGGGCCTCCCATCCCCACTGCAGCAGACAGCCTGGGATCATTCCTTCCTGACACTCGAGGCGAGGGGGCATCCCGGGTCCAGTCTCTTTCTCCGTCCTGCTCAGAGGCCACATACAGAGGTGCCTGCCCAGCCTGTGGCTCCAGCAGCAACACCCGCATGGCACAGCCAGCAGCCTCCTGGGCTCCCTCAAGTCACCCTCAACTCTCCCCCTCCTGCCTCCCCACGGCCCACCAGCCTCTGCCGGACACTATGCCTCCTCAGACATCCCACACTGCCCTCAGTATCGCCCGTCCCGGCACCTAGCCCAAGACCCAAGGCCCTCTCACTGGGGCGCCCCGTCACTGGGGCAGCCCTCTGCCGACTGTGTGTCCTGGATGCCCAGGCACCCCTGCGCCCCAGGCGGTGTGCCTTAGAGCAGTCGGCTCTCCCTCTGGGCCAACACAGCAGAGACAGGAGCCTCTGCGCAGGGACAGCGTGGTCCCTGCCTGCGAGCACTCCCTCCGTGGGGCGAAAAACAGATGCTCACGACGGACGGTGCCAAGAGACGTACACTGAAGAGGCAGGAGCAGGGAGGAGGAGCCAGTGCCGAGCCAGAGGGCCCAGGAGGGTGTGGAGCCCAGGAAGATGCTGAAGAGGCTTCCGAGCGGGTGCGGGGTCCAGCAGGGGAGCTCAGCAAGAAGAAAGGCAGAGAGGAGAGGAAGTCCAGGTCCCGGGCAACGGCAGTGGCGCCAGGCCGACGAGGAGCAGGGCGGCCGGGAAAGGAGGCTCAACCTCACCCCGGGCAGAGGCCCTGCCCACGCCG